CACTAACTCCAAAAGGTTTTGGGACACTGTAAAGTCCATGGAGAATAAGAGCACCTCCTCCCAGCTGCCCACTGCACTGAGGCTAGGAAACACTGTCACCACCGATAAATCTACAATAATCGAGAATTTCAACAAGCATTTTGCTACGGCTGGCAATGCTTTCCACCTGGCTACCACTACCCCGGCCACCAGCTCTGCATCCTCCGCTGCAACTCTTAAACACTAGTAAAACTAAATGCATGCTCTTCAATCGAACGCTGCTGGCACCCGCCCACCCGACTAGAATCACTACTCTCGACGGGTCTGACCTAGAGTATGTGGACAACTACAAATACCTAGGTGTCTGGTTAGACTGTAAACTCTCCTTCCAGACTCACATTAAGCATCTCCAATCCAAAGTGAAATCTAGAATCGGCTTCCTATTTCGCAACAAAGCCTCCTTCACTCATGCTGCCAAACATGCCCTCGTAAAACTGACTATCCTACCGATCCTTGACTTCGGCAATGTCATTTACAAAATAGCCTCCAACACTCTACTCTGCAAATTGGATGTAGTCTATCACAGTGCCATCCGTTTTGGCACCAAAGCCCCATATACTACCCACCACTGTGACCTGTACGCTCTTGTTGGCTGGTCCCCACTACATATTAGTCACCAAACCCACTGGCTCCAGGCCATCTATAAATCACTGCTAGGCAAATCTCTGCCTTATATTAGCTCATTGGTCACCATAGCAACACCCACCCGTAGTATGCGCTCCAGCAGGTATATCTCACTGGTCATCCCCAAAGCAAACACCTCCTTTGGCCGCCATGCCTTCCAATTCTCTGCTGCCAATGACTGGAACAAACTGCAAACATCTCTGAAGCTGGAGACTCTTATCTCCCTCACTAACTTTAAGCATCAGTTGTCAGAGCACCTTACCGATCACTGCACCTGTACACAGCCCTTCTGAAATTAGCCCACTCAACTACCTCATCCCCATATTGTTATTATTTTGCTCATTTGCACCCCATTATCTCTATTTGCACATCAATTCTTGCACATCTATCATTCCAGTGTTAATACTAATTGTAATTATTTTGCACTATGGCCTATTTATTGCCTTACCTCCATAACTTGCTACATTTGCCCACACTGTATATACAGTATATTTTCTGTGGTATTTTTGACTTTGTTTTGTTTTACCCCATATGTAACTCTGTGTTGTTGTTTTTATCGCACTGCTTTGCTTTATCTTGACCAGGTCGCAGTTGTAAATGAGAACGTGTTCTCAACTGGCTTACCTGGTTAAATAAAGGTTAAATAAATACATTTTAAAAATGTCCCTAGATCTGAATCGGGTCCTAATGCAATTGGGAGCAGTAGTGCTCTGCTGCCACCAAGAGGCCAAAACAAGACATGGCATTCGGACAGATTTTACTGATGCCACACACAAATTGTGATTTGGAACTTTCACACTTCACAAATTAGAAGATCTGGGGCGCAAAATGGGTGGCCTCGGTCCGATTCCATTCCTACCTTGGTGCGGCTCGCTGCAGGTGAGAACGCAGTCCGGACCAAACACAGGAAAAGACCCTGAAGCTCGCAGTATTATTGGCAAGTGGCTGGTTTGGCCACATATTCGCAGTCGAAACTTGTTTCCCTTTTTTGCAGTTCACGCTAAGCACAAAGGCATCGTCACCTGTCGCAAACCAAATGCATTGCGTCTGGTCTCTGGCTGAGAAGTTGCTTTTGCTCTGTCATTTGGTCCCTCTTTCTTTAGATCCTTGACAGTTCGCCACCATAAACTGCTGAGATATGCAGGCAATAACCAGCAAGACGGTTAAATTGGTAAGGCGCGTCATGTCCCACTAAAATATCTGCAAAAATGTCATGTTTATTAGTACAGTACAAATCCCTCTCATTCAAATAATTGGTACTGTAGCCTATCACAACAGCATGTAGATGAGATTTAGGGAGGATTATGGTATATAATATTTAACATCCTAAATCAACTCACCTGTGGATTTGGGAAAATGGAAATGGTTAAATCCCGTTGTGACACCTGGCATTCGTAGAGTACCGACACACCCACCACACCTAGCTACAACGTGGAACATAGGCCAACACGCTCACAAACAGCTTGTCAGTGTTTATTTGGTGGTATCTTGTCACAAGTTTTTGTCCTTAATTAGGCATGTACAAAAAATATGATAGTCTATTGACGTTTAAAACCTGCATACTGAAAATAAACATTTGATTACCCCTAAAAATCATTTCAGGACTTCTCTACAGGTTATAGTATACGCACTCCTAAACTGGTCTAGTAAAAGTGAAGTGAGCAACGCACTGATGGCAGCAATCATTGAAAAAATATATACACTGCTCAAAAAAATAAAGGGAACACTTAAACAACACATCCTAGATCTGAATGAATGAAATCATCTTATTAAATACTTTTTTCTTTACATAGTTGAATGTGCTGACAACAAAATCACACAAAAATGATCAATGGAAATCAAATGTATCAACCCATGGAGGTCTGGATTTGGAGTCACCCTCAAAATTAAAGTGGAAAACAACACTACAGGCTGATCCAACTTTGATGTAATGTCCTTAAAACAAGTCAAAATGAGGCTCAGTAGTGTGTATGACCTCCCTACAACGCCTGGGCATGCTCCTGATGAGGTGGCGAATGGTCTCCTGAGGGATCTCCTCCCAGACCTGGACTAAAGCATCCGCCAACTCCTGGACAGTCTGTGGTGCAACGTGACGTTGGTGGATGGAGCGAGACATGATGTCCCAGATGTGCTCAATTGGATTCAGGTCTGGGGAACGGGCGGTCCATAGCATCAATGCCTTCCTCTTGCAGGAACTGCTGACACACTCCAGCCACATGAGGTTTAGCATTGTCTTGCATTAGGAGGAACCCAGGACCAACCGCACCAGCATATGGTCTCACAAGGGGTCTGAGGATCTCATCTCGGTACCTAATGGCAGTCAGGCTACCTCTGGCGAGCACATGGAGGGCTGTGCGGCCCCCCAAAGAAATGCCACCATGACTGACCCACCGCCAAACCGGTCATGCTGGAGGATGTTGCAGGCAGCAGAATGTTCTCCACGGCGTCTCCAGACTCTGTCACATGTGCTCAGTGTGAACCTGCTTTCATCTGAAGAGCACAGGGCGCCAGTGGCGAATTTGCCAATCTTGGAGTTCTCTGGCAAATGCCAAACGTCCTGCACGGTGTTGGGCTGTAAGCACAACCCCCACCTGTGGACGTTGGGCCCTCATACCACCCTCATGGAGTCTGTTTCTGACCGTTTGAGCAGACACATGCACATTTGTGGCCTGCTGGAGGTCATTTTGCAGGGCTCTGGCAGTGCTCCTCCTTGCACAAAGGCGGAGGTAGCGGTCCTGCTGCTGGGTTGTTGCCCTCCTACGGCCTTCTCCACGTCTCCTGATGTACTGGCCTGTCTCCTGGTAGCGCCTCCATGCTCTGGACACTACGCTGACAGACACAGCAAACCTTCTTGCCACAGCTCGCATTGATGTGCCATCCTGGATGAGCTGCACTACTTGTGTGGGTTGTAGACTCCGTCTCATGCTACCACTAGAGTGAAAGCACCGCCAGCATTCAAAAGTGACCAAAACATCAGCCAGGAAGCATAGGAACTGAGAAGTGGTCTGTGGTCACCACCTGCAGAACCACTTCTTTATTGGGGGCGTCTTGCTAATTGCCTATAATTTCCACCTGTTGTGTATTCCATTTGCACAACAGCATGTGCAATTTATTGTCAATCAGTGTTGCTTCCTAAGTGGACAGTTTGATTTCACAGAAGTGTGATTGACTTGGAGTTACATTGTGTTGTTTAAGTGTTCCCTTTATTTTTTTGAGCAGTGTATTTTAAAGAAATTGATACAACAGCATCACTTATTGGGGAAAAGAGACAGGGCAACTCTAAAAGGGTAGTATAGAGCCCCACAGTTGAGGTGACAACCATTAAACGTAGCAGTCACAGGAAAGTGGTTCCAATCGTTTTTCCACCATTCATTTTTCCCCAGAGGGGATTGTAGAAACACTTAAGGGCCGTTTCGTGTAGGCTTACCCTGAAGTGACATGTAAGTCTCTCGGACAAGGTGACTTATCAATATATTCGGTTCTATTTACTCAGATTCGAAAATACTAATTAGCATCAAAATAGACATGACTACAAATCCCTGCAAGTCATCTCTAGCTGACACGTTTGCTGACTGGTATTGTGTCAATTTAAAACTTGCATAAGACAGTTCAAAGAATTGTTAACTTAAATGTAGATCGTTACTACAGGGTCTTACCTTTTCGTCGATTCGGATCTTGTCCAGATCATGGCATTTGTAGTTCTTTATGGTAGCCACATTAACATTTCCGGGGGGATAGAATTCAGACGATTATATTTGATGAAAGTCACCTTGTCCTAGAGATATTTACACGGTTATCAAAATGCCACGCGAAACACAGCCCTCAAGTGTTTCTAAAACCCCCTATGGGAAAAATAAATGTTGGAAAAACGATTGGAACCATTTCCCTGTGACTGCTAGGTTTTATGACTCATACTGGGCTACTGAATATAGCCCAGTCACATCACCAATTGCGCCGTTCTCCCGCGTGTTGTTGAAAGACCAAGCCAAAAGTAGTTTGACGTTTGGGACACAAGTCTTGCTTCTTGGTAAGACTGATTTAACGCGAGAATGTAAACACACAACTTGTATGAAAGCTGTTTGTTTAGGCATTTGGCAATGTGAAACCAACCGGAACAAAATGTAGAAAAAAATCCAAATCCAACTGATTCTATAGCTCAGAACTGTATGAAGACACCTGAAATTCAAAATATTAGTGTTTAACAGTCACATGTACAGGGTTGCAGGTGTGAGTGCAAGGTACAGTGAAACATCTTTGGCTTCGAGCTCCAACATGCAGAACTAAATGAAATAAAACAATGAAAATGGCAATAAAAACAATAGAACTAGAAGCAGTAATAACAGAGGGTCTTTGCGGGAATGGAATTTATTTACAAGAGATATTTTACAGCGCAGATGATGCCTTGATTGATAACCAGTGAACTCCCAACAAGACACATACCTTTGAATGAGGCAAGTGATTTAAAAACGGCAGACTGTCCTGCAGAATGTTGAGCCAAACTAGACTTAAGCTTCCAACCTTGGCTAGAATACATTTGTGGAAAAATAATAATTCAGTACAGCCCATAGAAAATGTCAAGTAGTCATAGAAAACCCAAACACGGTTAGTCTGGGGAAAGATTTGTCAGGAAATATTCACAAGTGTGTCTATTAGTTTCAGTGGGGAAAATATAAGCTGCAGTTTTATTACAAGAATGCAGACAGTGAAAGATGCATCTTTACAGCTTTTTAGCAGTTAAAAACCACATTTGTCTAGTGAGAACAGACAAACATGACATTGCTTGATTAACATTACAAAGCTCAGGGTTGCGTCAAGCATAAAACAATCCTACAGGATTGTACATAAAAAAACTCACTAAATTGAGCCCACATCCGCAAAAGATTGATGCCATGGGTTCAGTTACACATTTTGGCAAGATGTCTCGTGTAGTAAAAAAATTAATGTGCGGAGAAAACACCCCCAATTAGAACAGTTCTCAGCATTGGTGAGCAAAGGAAAGAAAAATCAATTCAATGACAGTTTCTCTGGGGGCTCGATGAGAGAGACCTCTTGGTACCTAGACAGCAAGAAACACAATATGGTAAAAAAAAAAAAAAAAATCATTCAGACCCACCAATTCATGTTCAATCTAATAGAAATCTATAAAATTACTATATGAACAAGTAGTTCCCCTTAAAATGAAATGTCCAGTAAGCTTACACACATGGTTATTTTATACTGAACGAAAATATAAAACGCAACATGTAAAGTGTTGGACCCATGTTTCATGAGCTGAAATAAAAGATTACAGAAATTTACACTATGCACAAATTTGTTTACATCCCTGTTAGTAAGCATTTCTCCTTTGCCAAGATAATCCAGCCACTTGACAGGTGTGGCATATCTAGAAGCTGATTAAACAGCACAATCATTACACAGGTGTACCTTGTGCTGGGGACAAAAGGTCACTAAAAAGGTGCAGTTGTCACAACACAATGCCACAAATGTCTCAAGTTGAGGGAGCGTACAATTGGCATGCTGACTGCAGGGATGTCCACCAGAGCTGTTGCCAGAGAACTGAATGTTAATTTCTCTACCATAAACCACCTCCAATGTCATTTTAGAGAATTTGGCAGTACATCCAACCGGCCTCACGGCTGCAGACAGTTGATGAAACTGAGGAGTATTATTCTGTCTGTAATAAACTATTTTGTGGGGGAAAACTCATTCTGATTGGCTGGGCCTGGCTACCCAGTGAGTGTAATGGCTGTGCCCCTGCCCAGTAATGTGAATTCCATAGATTGGGGCATAATGAATTTATTTCAATTGTCCGATTTCCTTATACAAACTGTAACTCTGTAAAGTCGTTGAAATTGTTGCATTTATATTTTAGTTCAGTATAGATTAGCGGCACAAATTAATGGATTGGATACCAATGGAATGTTTACATTGGCAAATATACAAAGTGGATTACAGTGACCACTAGTCATTAATGAACTACTTTCAGATAAGAACATTTAGAAATCCATCTGTATGGTTCACTTACTTTGCGCCCTTGTACTTCTCCCTCACTGATTGCTGTGCATGCGTAGCAGCGTTGAGATACATTTGGTGCAGATCCTCTACGCAAAGCATCAGGTCTTCTAAAGAGTAGCCAGTCACCTCTGCCAGAGACTTGGACTAAAATAAAACAGAAAAAAATAAAATTATAATGTCACTGCAAAGTTATTTGTTTTAGGGCAAAGATATCAGTTGTCATTTGAGTTGTGATCAATTGCAATCTTTTATTCCACACAGGCTAGCGGTCTCTTCAGGGTATGACAATCTCACGCTACAGCTGTATAAGGAACATTTTAGGTTTAAACTTTAAGTGTTGAAAAAAAAAAAAAACCTGAAGATCAAATGCAAGCAAGAGATTGCGAGTCAGGGAGGAGCCTGATGATCAAGAAAGTTAGAAACACATGGGTGGGTGATTCCGTGTATACCCCTGTTGTCAGTAAGCAAACCTGTCAACTAGGGAATAGCCTACTTTTCAAACATGATTCTTAGAAAAGCATTTAATATGGAACAGACTTTAGTGACAGTTGGAAATCACGTTTTCTATGTGCCAAGATCAGGTATAGAATTTCATTTAATAAGGCCACTTGACCTTCAGTGACACCCAATTGGCCAAGGCATTATTGGCCCATCAATGTCATATATTAACATTAAAACAGCAAGTGAGACAAAAAAAAAAGCCTTTACTGTGAAGACTTGCATACATACACACGAGGAGAAAGAAAAACGTTACTTGTGTTAATGTTTCTCTCCCAAAGTAATCAAAACAGACAGTGAGAGCCAGTGGCAGATATTCTGCAGGGAGAGAGTTCCTGTCCGCACCAGCTACCAAATCCTGGCCTACGGCACCGAGGCCAAGACCTGTTTAAGACGCTACATTCTGTTGCCCTATTTTGAATGGGGCATAACGGCCAAACCAGAAGGTCAAGGAAACTCCTACCCTGGTAGAACGCTTACTGCGGCATTGCAAACTTACCCATGAGCCTCCTGTTATTGTGTGGTTTGCCAAAACTAAGGCGGCCGCAGCAGTCTGAGAGGGGAGGTACTTCAGGAAAGGGTCTGAGTCTACTAGACTGAGCTCCCCTAGGAACTAAGACAAAGTTTGTCAAAGAATTATAAAATATCTATAAAACCACAATTTCAACTTAAATTACAAAATGTGAACGCCACAACAACGTGTGCTCTACTCACCATCGACAAGCTCTCCACCTTGCTGCCGACAGGCTGGGTGAGAAAGTACTGAGTGAGAAACTGGTTGATGGTAGGAGAGGCCAGATCAAAGGAGAGCACTTTCAGCACCAGATGCTCCATTCGCAACACTTGCTTCTTCGTGTAGGTGTCGTCCGTGATGTAAACAAACTCTGCGACCTCCGGGGGGTAGATCTCTTCAAATTTCCTGCATTTGAAGGAAAACCAGTGTGATTAAAGCAAATCGCTTAGATTGGCACTATCAATTAAAAAGGAGTTCATCTCTAGGGTTGACACTTTCAGTTAAACTCCTGCCAAAATTAAAGTGTCAGATGTTGGTGCCAATCTTTTCCATTCATTTGGGACAGAGGCCTAATACATCTAGTGGGCTTTACACAACAGATAGCAAAGACTGTTTACTCAGCACACCTTCGAGCACACAAAAAGGATGGCTATGTTGGGGGGGGGGGGGTCTACAACACTTACGACGCCAACAACATTGCAGCGGTCCCAACCAACTGCAGCTTCCCCCGCAGGACTGACATGGAAGACAGGAAACGGTCGATGTAGTTCACTGCAAGGTAGAGCGTCTCGTTCTGGAGCTTGTACTCCTCTCCAACCTCCACCAGCCAGTCAACGAGGATGGCCCGCATGCTGTTGGTGATGTCTGGCTGCTTTTTCATGTAGCCTGCTTTTGGCCTGGATTTAACCTAAGGACAAGAGTGCATAAGGACAATGAGTCTTCACAACACTGTAGTTACAGTTCAGTTATTTGTGTGAACTGAAAAAATGAATTGCGCACGCCAGTTTGCTCACCTCCATTTCTCTTAGATGCGTGTGTATTTCTGAAGCATACTCCGTTGCCGCGTTCACTGGCTTCTCGTCACCTTCAATAACTGACATATCCATGGGAGAATCTGTATAGAGCAAAATCATTTGAAAACGTTTGACTTTCGAATCCATATGAGACGACACCATGTTCATATCAGAGTATTGAAAGGGTAAATAAATCGGGGCTAAATAAATAGATAGATGAAGTCCAGCTGGATTACTCACCGTCAAAACTAACATTCATGTTAGACACACATGTTGCTGTTATGTCAAGAGAGGCGAGAGGCTGCCTTAGAAGGGTAACTGTTGGGTTCAGTTTCAGGGAGGAAATCTCTGTGGAGGGCTTGGCCTTGAGGGACACCGGTTTCTTGGAGCAGGCACCATCAGGCTCATCCACATGAATCTGGAAAGCAGGCTGCTTGCTGCCCAGCTTCTCTGAATAACTTTTAGGTATTTCATTTTCGCAGGACAGCACCTGAAATGAGGACAGAATTTCAAATATTTCAGTGCTCATGGTTTCGACAATGAGTTGCCATTTCATGTAAATTAATCATTTTAATATGGGAAGAATTAGGTTTGAGAATGCAAGTTGGCCATCCCAACTAGCACAAGAGATTGACAGTATAAAATGGCGGACTAACGTTACTTGGAAGGGAACCTACCCAACTATCAGACATTAAAAAAATTAGACAAAAATACATTCAGTAAAATGGAGATGAAATTCTAAATTATCAAAATAAACTGCGCTTGGTCGTGAATTAAAAAAAAATGTATCCTAAGGTTAGCAAAGGTTAGCAAATTACCTAGCCACCAGGCTTAATCTGCATGCTACTGCTATGTTAGCAAGGTTAGCTAGCTAGGCAACAAGTCTAAGTATATGGTGTTGGCTGGCTAGTGGCTAGTTGGAAGTTACCAACCTGTTTTGTGCCGCGCAGAGTTTGAGGTTTGCTGCGTTTGTTGTTTTGCAAGGCTCCCAGGACAGTTCTCTGTGGTGCTTTGGGGACAATGTTCTCCTGGTTGTCCACCCGGTTTTTGAGTGTACCTCTCTGTCCGGACAGCATATTTTCCTGGTTTTGGTATTCTGGCAGTGGAACATCAACCGCGCTTCCGTGTCCTTGGTTTGATCCTGACATGTTGTCCTCCGTTCCTGGCTCACTAACGTCAAACAAGTCACTGCAGAAACGTGCAATTTGTTACACAAAATTAAAACAGAACCTTGATGGTAAATAAATAAAATATAAACTGGACTTACAAATGAAAGCACAACTAGAGGCTAGCTAGTTATCGCACAAGTCTGACGTGTTGAGATGACAACAACGTACCGTTAGCAAAAGTCGGAGCTTCAAATTTAAAACCCTATCTGGAACGTTGATGCACCAAAATCCTCTGCATGAAAACCCGACATTAGCTGGCCATGCTGTTTGACAAAATGTTATACATTAACCGATCGCCCAATCTGCTAACTAAATAAAATCCCCTGTTTCTCAGAGCATGCAGCTAGATATATGTTACTTTTTCTCAGTTCAAGTAGCCCGCGACTATTGAAACGGCCAATCAGAGCCGAAGGAGAAAGTACGTCACGAAGCTACGGCGGCTGATAGAACTCAGATTCAATGTGTTCGCGAATGCACAGCCGTTGAGATTTCGGTGTACACTTTTGTTGTCAGGCGGGACAAACTGAACATGAATATTCAAAGCTCGATTTTTTATAATTTTAATTAATATAATATCGTAAAAACAATTATGATCTCTCTGAGAGCATCTCAAAGTATTGTTACACTCACTTATGTTATACACAGAGTAGACAACCCACGACAAATAAACATTTTACATTTTAGTCATTTAGCAGACGCTCTTATCCAGAGCATACATTATTTTATTTTTATTTTTTTCATACTGGCCCCCCGTGGGAAACGAACCCACAACCCTGGCGTTGCAAACGCCATGCTCTACGAAGCCGGCCATTCCCTCCCCTACCCTGGACGACGCTGGGCCAATTGTGCGCCGCCCCATGGGTCTACGACAGAGCCTGGATTCGAACCAGGATCTCTAGTGGCACAGCTAGCACTGCGCCACTCGGGAGGTGTAAACCACAAATGATTTAATATTTGATATATTGAAATACTCTATAAAAAAAAAAAGTATATAATATATATATATAACCTTAAATCGTAGCTTTTTAACTAGCTCATCTGTATGTTTTTTAAACATTACATCTTTGTCAATCCAAATACCCAAATATTTATAGGCGGGAACCCGATCGATGGGAGAACCATCCAATGAATAAATATGTAGTCCATCTGAATTTTTTTTGTGAGAATTAGAGAACATTTATTTTGTCTTGCCCGCATTAAGTACAAGTTTTAAACCAACCTGGGCTTTCCGTAAGGTAACAAGGTCAGCTTGCAGCTCTAACATAGCCTGGTCAACAGTTGGGGCTTTGGAATAAATATCAGTGTTGTCTGCATACAGATGAATATTACAATATTACAGAGAGACCAATATTATTTATATAAATAGTAAAAGAGAACAGGTCTCATTACCGACCCCTGCGGTACACATACATACATACATACATACATACATACATACAGTGCCTTCGGAAAGTATTCAGACCCCTTGACTTTTTTAACATTTTGTTACGTTACAACTTTATTCTAAAATTGATTAAATCGTTTTTTCCCTCCTAATCAATCTACACAGAATACCCCAAAATTACATTTACATTACATTTTAGTCATTTAGCAGACGCTCTTATCCAGAGCGACTTACAGTTAATGAGTGCAAACAATTTTTCATACTGGCCCCCCGTGGGAAACGAACCCACAACCCTGGCGTTGCAAGCGCCATGCTCTACCAACAGGAATCAGGACTAATAAAGCCAATGCAACAGCCTGCTTTACAAATGGTGGGCCTAGCACATGGATGGGCATTCATACAATTCTATTGTAGGCTGATGTGGTTGGCTACACCCCAGTAAGAACGAGCAGACATCTTTTTTTGTGTGTGTGTTTTACAAACGGTAGGCTTACCACATGGATGGGCATTCATAAAATTACATTTCAGGCAACACTGCAGACTACACCTCAGGAAGCACGGGCCGATGCCTTTTGGACTTCTTTTTTTTGGTGCAGTCCGGACTGGCCTTGATTTCCACATCCACGGACATTGGTTTTTCGTCCGGTCCAAATCTGAACCAAATTCAAATTTTGTCTGGTCTGGACCAGCCTTGATTTGGCCCTAACATAGACATCTATAAATTATGTATTTTCAACTTATATTCAAACCAAAAATGAGCCTGATTTCAACATCAGGAAAATACATATTTTCAAGGTCTGGAAAATACGTATTTCCAACTTTCATTCAGAACCAAAAATGAGCATGATTTCGACATCCGGAAAATACGGATTTTTCAACGTCTTGGAAAATATGTACACTAGCCTTTAAAGTCCTCCAGAAGATAGTGGATCCGTCAAGACAGGTATATAGCGACCACTAGCGGCTGGCTGGATAACAACATACTGCAAACTCCGATAACTCACTGCAGAGATTGACCAAACATCACTTGCTGCATTTGTTATTAGAATCAAACTTGTGAACAAAATTAAAATGATCCGACGATCTGTTTGGCCTCTCAATCAAGTTCACACCATTTTCGTCCCAGCTCTAGGTCACTTGTCGAACAAGAATTAACAAGGGGCGTGGAATCTGAACCCCTCTATTTGATCCACCTTAGAAATCTAAAATGTTTTAGCTACAATGCAAACAGTTACAAAACGTGGAATAATTTACCATTTTAGAATAAGGCTGTAACGTAAAAAAATGTGGAAAAAGTCAAGGGGTCTGAATACTTTCCGAAGGCACTTGAATAGAAATAGAAATGTAACTGTCAAACATGAACAATTATATTTTCATGTGCAAACCTATAAAAGAGAACATACAACAGACTATATAGCTAGGCCAACAGAATATAGGCCTTTAGGCATTCAGATGTTGTTGACAATTGACATAAATAATTCATAATATGTACAATAATTGATTCTAGTATCTTACAAAAAACAAACAAAGCTGAAACGTAAACTCTATATACAGAACAAAAGCTATTACAAATTAGGTGTCAAAGTTTGTGTCCTCTTTGCTCTAATTTGATATTATGCCTCATTGAAGAAATTCATCAAAGAATCCAAATCGTAGTTATCCAAAATTTCCAGCAGCAATGACACCTTTGTCTTCACATTCTGTCCTTTGAATTTGAATTTGTCGATGAAGAGGTCAGTTACCATACCTGGGGAAACAGAAGCAAAAACACACGTTACTGTGATTGTCGTTTTGCATAACCATATTGTCACATTCATTTTGCACCCAGGAGATGTAGGATCCCTGGCAAGCTAGGCTAATGTGATGGCTGATGTTTTATTTTGATTTTTATTCTTGTGAAACGAGAATGTTACAGCAACAACTGTGCAATGAGATACCATAAAGTCTTTCTAGGTGAGCTGGTTGCTTCTTGTATTCCTCTAGCAGATAGGCAGACTCGTCTAGAATGTTACGATATTCAGGAATAAGGAAGTCCGTATTCCCCTCGTGAACCTGAAGATCCTACAAAACACACACATACACACAGAAAGAGAGCGATATGTGAGCAAGGGTTGCAATATTCAAGAAGTTTCAGTAATTTAAATAAAATCAGTTTGCAACACTGGTAGGCCTACTTGCTTTTAATGCGTCAATCAGCTGAACCTTTTTGGCCAAGAGCAGCTGATACTCAAGCTTCGGATGAATCATCTTGAGTGTGTGGCCCACTGAAACGTCATTGATATCTGAAAATTAGAGCCGCAAATACAATTGTGCGACTGTCTACATTGGCCTGGATAGAGATTATTTTTTTATGAACAGAAAACAGTTTCACTCCTGCAGCGTAAATAACTAACTAGTAGCCTAAAGATACAGATAATAATAATGTACTGTAACTAGCTAAAGACCTACCATAAGAAATGTTGAGATTGTTTTTTCTTTTGGTGGCTTCTTTGGAGAGGACGTCCTTCAGTATGGAGATGGTGGAAATGTTGTCAGACTTGAAGTGGCCTTCCCCTTTACTAAAATGACAAAAGGGGGAGAACAAAACCAATATTGAATGTGTCTTAATTCAATCTCCCTAAAGTACAAGTCAAAGTGAATGGCAAAAATTATGTGAGGTGCCCTTGATTTCAGCTTGAGTTTGCACTTTTGGGATTATTCCATTAGTTACATTGTACAGGGACAAACTAAACCAAGCACACTGATTGACGCATCTGCCTGAGGGGTTAAATAAAGATTGTATTGAATTGAATTCCGAACCAGTATGTGGCTTCCAGCTGCGTGCCAAGGAAAGTGTTCTGGAAGTAGAAGGTGATATTCTCCCCTGCTGGAGTCTTCTCTGGGACCTCTGGCAAGCAGAAGACTACCCAGGAGTGGATCTCTGCAAAGCTGAATTGGCCAACCAGACTCAAAGTGTTCATGGGTCTGTATGGGGTGAGATGGAGAGATAATGAAAGACGAGAGAAAAAGAGTGAGATTGAGTCAAACACCGTCTTTCTTTCAGTAGACTATAACCATATAGGACAGTCTTAGTCAACATCCGGCACCAGTGGCTGGGAGGTTGCTGACTGCTCTGGATGCCATAGATGTTGTCCCCTTGAGCATTACAAGTCTGTTACAGACTGACCCTTTGCCACAACCCCTCGGGGTGTGTATGTGTCGGGGGGGATAAAAAGCAAAAATACACATTTTCATACTCTGAAAAAAAAATGGACCGTTCTTATTTTCTTCTTTTATTGCTGTCGTAAGTAACGTAAGCCAAAAAAGTGTTATTGACAGGCCAATAGAATCCCACTGCTGCACAGCCCAGTCAGGTTTTGGCAGACAACGTCTTTGTAATTACTAGTGCTTCATCCTTCTTCTTACCTGTCCTGGTCAATGGTGTGAGTTCTCTGGTGAAGGGACAGGGGTTTGATGAGGTACTGGTGTACCTGGCAGGTCTTGGGCTGCAGGCGTGGCGTGATGTAGGCCTGCAGGGTGCCATACTGGCCCTCAATGAACCTCACCTAGAGAAGGGAGAAGATGACGTGACATAGAAGTCATAAGAACACATAGCAGCGTTCCCTTAGCATTGCTGAGTCGGGTGGGGCCAGACGGGAACTTGGACCTAGCTCTGTTGCCCCCCTGGAGAAGAGAGTGTTACTTTTGGGTCGTTCCACAAAAAGTGCCTTTTGCATCCCTTTAATATTTTAAGTAGACATTGTGCACCAATATAGAATTTTAAAAGCCTGATATATTAAATGAAGTGCATTTTAATATAGACCACATGGAGAATTAAATAAATCTGATTTTTACTATGAAAAAATACTTGCTAAAGTGCCAAAGTTCAGCATTATGACATGTCCCTCCGGGCACCCTCTGTGATTCTAGGAAGATTTTAACCTACTTAACCCCAAGTTTTCACCAGTCATTTCTGAAGATTATTATTTATTTTAATTATTCATTTTAAGGTCAACTCTGTTACGTGAAGTAAAAGTTTATTTAATTTTTTAGAAACATTGAAAATCGAATAGTCAAATCATAGCGTAAAAGCAGGTGAGCTGGTTCTTCTCTTTTTGGCATAACACGTCAACCCTGTTACCCATACATAGACAGGCTAGAAATGTTAAAAATAATAATATATATTGTGAAGCTTGAAATTCAATTGCCACTCCCTGTTGCACACAACAAGCTTCCATTCCCTTGTCACTAGGGGATTTATGGCTGATTTAAGATAAAATCGTCAACTCTGTTATGGTCAACCCTGTTACTTTATTTAGCAATTAATATGCACTTATTATAGTCTCTTTTTTTTTTTACCTCTTCAGATGGGAAAACGTGTTTTTTTATTAAGTTGAACGTGCTCTTTATGACCAAAAAAAATACAATGGTGAAATCCCAAAAATATTTGACCAAGTTTACACTCCAGATCAAAAATTATGAATTTACTTTAAAACATACTCTTAAAAATCTCTCACCTTCAGCTCAAGCCGTGTAGTATTTGCTTGGCATCTGTACATAGCGAGGAGAAAATTGCCATTTAGCTTCTGAAACAGATAGCATAATTAGTGCTTTGAGGAATCTAAAGCATTAGTTTCTCAATAATCGTATTTGTATGCTCTCTGTAATAGGATTGAATCTCACCTCTGAATCACATTAGCTGAAACTCACGACAGCAGAGTTCTTGTCGACATCCAGCAGATCAATTGGTACGTCACTCTGTAAAGAAAACAATCGTACTGTTATGACTATAACTACTGTTCCCTGAAGGAGGGAACGAGGTATAACATACTATGGGGAGTCAATGACCAATCCTATTCACCTGAACAAACTGAAATCACACCCAACGGGCCAATGGATACCGAGCCTACCCTCGGAAGCCCCGCCTTCCTGGCTATAAAACTGGGGCTTGCATCCATTTCCTCAATTCAGTACCGCTCTTCAGCGAGGCCAAACTCCCTGACAGAGCGGGCCAAAATATGTAATACCTCATTCCATCCTTCAGGGAACATTAGTTATATTCATAACTGTACGTACCCTTTCAGTCAGTCACTCAGTATAACATACTATGGGGACCAGAGTATGTGAGCGGAGCGAGGAGCGGCAAGTGCCCAATTTGACTGGAGCGCGGAGCGAGTTTCCTAAAGGCTGGAGTGTCGGCCCGCTCCAATTTCACTCCAGTAGCACTCCAAGTAGTGCTCACTTCACGAGCTCAGGGCATGCCCGGCCCAACATGTATTTGTAGTCTACTTGTGTGATGCTATAGCCCCTTGCTTTAGCTACTGTCATGGAGTTCACTAAATATCTTCATAAGGAAACTGATAAAACCCACAGGTGCAAAATCAAAGTGACTTAGAAAGATGAGGAGGACCAAGAGCAAGAGAGGGAGTGCGGTGATGCATTGTCCACAACTAAATAATCATTGTGGAATCTGAAAAGAGTGTCTTTTGTATTTAATTCTAAGTAAGTCACAGCCTATGTGCGCAATTTATAGACTATAATGATTTAATACAATGAAATGTTGTTTAAATGCTGAGTGCTTAGTGTGTCGCACTCGCAAATGCTTCACAATGTATTTCTTTGTAGGCTAAAGCCTTGAAATAATTGATACTATAAGTAATACTATATCCTAAATAATTAATTTTCATTCCTGCTTAGGTTACTTGTCTGGCTCCTGACCTATTTAGAGTCTTTATATGCTGTTTAATACGACATGTAGCCAATTTGAAATTATGAGCGCTTCTTACAGTCACCTTTTCATGTTGTTTATTGAAATACTTTTCATTCAAATAATATGGTTTGGTTTCAATACTTCAAAACCAAATGGTAGGTCCAGGTAGTCACAAAAATAGATGGGTGTTGGTTAAATTGTGATTTTAATGAATGGAGCGAATTTGGAGCGGCAGTTTTTTTTCCTGTGAGCAAGGAGCGTTTTTTAGCGGAGCGGTTGGAAAGCACTTGGAGCGCCGGAGCGTGAGTGATGAGCGTGATTTCCGACCACTTAACTCCGCTCACATACTCTGATGGGGACATACAATCACGCTCCAAGCCGGCTCAAAGAGTACCAAACTAGGAGGCCCACGGCAGCCTAAGCACACACGTTCCACCAGCTCCAAAAAGGCGTTAATGAAGCCACCTTTCCCCCAAATACTTACCCGAGAAGCCTGAACTGTCAGAGCCCCATATAGGGAACCAGAATCTGCTGCAACTTGGCTGTGAGCACTGACCCTGCAGCCCAAGTCCCTAGAACCCAAAAACAATACTTACCTTGAGAGCCTGAAATGTCAGAACTCGTACAAGGAACTGCAAGTCCAAAACAACAGAACATTTGTTGTGACTTGGTAAAACGCACACGCAGGCTGCATAGCATCGACAAGAGTCGTTGAACCACGGCAGCCCAAGGTTGAAACCCACAGGAAACCTGCAGTAATTGTGTACTCACGCGGTGCCACATCAGCCCAAGGCTCAAACCCACAGGGAACTGTGGTAACCCTGATAAATGCGCACTCTGTTCGCTGCCGCACATCAAGGCAGCCCAAGGCTCAAACGCAGAGCAAAACTGTGGTACCAGGACAAAATGCTGCCTAACATCGACCACGGTGGCCCAAGTCCATAGACCCTACCGGTTCCAAAAAGGCTCACATCGAGACCTGAGGAGTCTGGAATGCCAGAACTCACACAAGGAACCGCAAGTCCAAAACAACAGGGCACCTGCTGTGACTTGATAATGTGCATTCGCGTGCCGTCTCACCGACGATGATCTCCTGGAACCAGGGTTGTCTGGGCCAACGGGGAACCACCAAAATCAACAAAAAACCATCCTGACGGACCCTCTCCACGGTGGTCTGAATCAGGTCCACCGGAGGAACGCATTGAGCAGGGTCCGAGGCCACTGAAACGCCAAAGCTTTTTCTTTCGACGCGTATGATCTATGTCGGCCCTGTTGAACCGGTCCCATATCTGGGCCACCATCGAGGGGTGCAGTCTCCATTCCATAGAGATAGGACCCCCCCCTGAAAAGTAGATCCGCACCCACGGTGAGAGATTTGGGAAGATACGTCACCCTGAGCGACAGGTAATGCACACTGCCCCATATGAGCAGATAACGGGCCAGGTTCAGGAGAGAGTCCCTCCCTGCCTGAGAGAGTTTCCCTCACTCAGAAACAGAAACAGACACATCAACAGAAGTCCCAGAGGCATCACAGCTATCATAGAGGCCATCAGACCCAATAACCGCAGGAGCAAGCTAAAAGGCACCGAGTGCCCCAGCAGAAACCGTGCCAGACAGAGCTGGAATGCGACCCTCCTCTGTTGGGACAAAAACGTATGATTCAGAACCGTCCAGAACGAGACCCAGAAACAGAATGCGCTGAGCCGGAATCAAATAACTTTTCTTGTTATTCACTACGAACCTCAGAGACTGAATATGGGAAACCAGCGTGGCAGTGTGGAGCTCCACCTATTTCCTAGACTCCGCTACGACCAGTTAATCGTCCAGATAGCCTTGCCAATACCCTGATCCCCTGGCACCGCACCGGTGCCAAAGCCGCCTCCAACACCATAGAAAAGGTGTGGGCGATAGGGAGATGAGGAGGATGTATAGTGCATTAAAATATGCATCCTCCAGATCTATGGACGTGAACCAACTGCAATGGCCGGCGAAGTGTGAGTATTTTTAACTTTCAACCTTGAGGTGCCTTGTTTAAACCTTGTTTAAAACACGCAAGTCCAGGAGCGACGCAACGTTTCATCGCTCTTGGGAACTAACAAGTACCGGCTGTACCAACCGCTCTGTACTTCTGACACGGGGACTGCCCGAACTGCCTGCTTTTGAAGGACAGAGGAAATTTCCTCTCTCAAGACAGGCGCTAGGACCTCGGGGACCATTGACTTAATTACGCCACGAAAAGGAGGACACCGCACAGCGAACTGCAGACCGTACCCCCTTGTCACCGTCCTCATCACCACCCATGGTGAACCTGCAAATGCCCGCCTCTGGACGGAGCACATTGCCAGTCTCACATACATTATCTCCTGAAGGGGCAGAGCGCCACCCTGAGGAATGGGATAATATATTTTCATATCCACCACTTTTGACAGTCTGAAAGTGGGGAAGGAAATGTGCATTCTGATACCGGGCCCACACCGGGTTCGGGGACCTCTGCAACCGGTAACTTGCACCCATTGACCGAGCCACTTGGGAGCACTGCTGCCACAGTAAATGCTTGGGGAGGAGTGCCCAGAGCCAAACAACCTTGTTGCCGAAACTGGCTCATCCAAATACATCCGCCTGTCCCTCTCAGGAATCCTGAGAACCGGCGCTGTTTATTCAGAAGCACCGTGCTAGGGTTAGCCCCCTTGTAAGCATCTGGAGCTAAGTAAATCTTTAAAACAGGGGTAAGCGATGCTTCACCGCTGCAGCGACATGAGGTAAATACACTACATGACAGCACCAGACCATTATTCCTCCTCCTTTGGCACTATGCATTCGGGCAGGTAGCGTTCTCCTGGCATCCGCCAAACCCAGATTCGTCTGCCAGATGGTGAGCGTAATTAATCAAATCAAATTTAAATTTGTCACATACACGTGTTTAGCAGATGTTATTGCGGGTGTAGCGAAATGTTTGTGCTTCACTCCAGAGAATGCGTTTCCACTCCTCCAGAGTCCAATGGCGGCAAGGTTTACACCCCTCCAGCCGACGCTTGGCATTGCGCATGGTGATCTTAGGCTTGTGTGCGGCTGCTCAGCCATGGAAACCCATTTCATGAAGCTCCCTGCAAACAGTTCTTGTGCTGAAGTTGCTTCCAGAGGCAATTTGGAACTTGGTGTGTTGCAACCGAGGACTTCAACACTCGGTGGTCCCGTTCTGTGAGCTTGTGTGACCTACCACTTCGCGGCTGAGCTGTTGTTGCTCCTAAACATTTCCACTTCACAATAACAGTACTTACAGGCAGCTCTAGCAGGGCAGAAATTTGAAGAACTGACTTGTTGGAAAGGTGGCATCCTATGAGCACGGTCGGAGATTCAAACTTGGCTGGTTAGCCTTTTTGAACTTACTTCTTACCACTGGCCACCTTACTCAAGAAAGGAAGCACTGGCTCCACAAGCAGAGCAGAAAGTAGTGGGGTTTTATCAAACACAAATCCTACCCAAGTAAGGAAGCATTAGCTGGACAAGCAGAACAGAAAGTAGTTCGATTTTAGCAAACACAAAAACCGATACCAAGCCCCAAAACATCTAGGGGGACGAGTACTCTCTCCCCACTAACAGACACCTAAGTTGGATCAGAATCTCGGAGCCTTCGTGTGCTTGAAAAATTTGTATATTGCGTGACACACGTTCTTCCTTCAGGCAAGCTGAAGAGCAAAGGAAATGGATCAGAGCCCCGGTATTGTAGCCAGTAGAGGCGGGGCTTCTGAGGGCGGACTCGGCATCCGTTGGGTGTGGTTTTAGTTTTCTTCAGGTGAATAGGATTGGTCGTTGACTCCCCATAGTATGTTATAACGAGTGACCGACTAAAATGGAACCTAACATTACAATCCATTACATAAAAGTCGTGGTCACATAGCCGTATCATTAGTAGATCTCTCTCATTAAAAAAAACGCTCAAATCTCTCTTTCTTGTTCAATACACCACATAAAAAATACAGTTTAGTCAATTTCTTTCACCTGCAGCAGCAGATTGTCAATGGCCGTCTGCACTTCCAAAGTGAGGCTGTAGCTGGCGTCATCCTGACACAGGGTGAACTTGTCGTTGACGTTGAACACGGGCATGGCAGAGATGGCCGTACTGGACTGGGAGGTCTGCTGGTACTTCTCACGGCCCTGAAGGACCTTCATCTGCAGTTGGTCTAGCTCTGCCCTGAGGGTGACATGTGCTGTGTGTTCATGGTGGGAGAATTACAACAGACAGTAAGCAGGTTTCCATTGACCCAGGTTTATTTGACAAAGGCAATGTGACAACAAACAACACTGCGACATGTGAAATGGAAACGGCAGATATAGGAGACATTTTCTAACATTTTTATCCGTTCGACGGGTGGATTTTTATTTTGTCTAACTTTCTTTATTACGACAAATGACGATGGAAACTGTGTTTCTCGAATAAAATGATGATTGGCAAATACTTGAAGGTACACGGAGCACGTGAATTCATCACGTAACTATAAGCTCCACTCTGGTTAGAATGTCTATTGCTCCACTCCACACTGAATTCTAAATGCCTACTGCTTGCAAGTACAATTTCTTAACTATAAAAACAATGTTTCTTTGCAGGAAAAGGATTGTCCTGACATTCAAGAATGCTTGAATTGCTTCGCCTTACTTTTCTGGCTGGCTGGCAAGTTTCACCATCCAATTATTTCGGATCTACAGAAGTGCAAGTTTCACCATGGCACAGGCCGTGGCGATACGTTGGCACATGAGAATTATTGCATTCTATCCACGCTGGCTTTCGCGGGCTACCTGAGACATGAAACTAGTCCGTGCATCAATACAAGTATATCATAAAATACGGTATACCGCCCAGCCCTAATGAGAATTATTAGAAAATGGCCCACTATTAGTCAATTCTTGCATTCTAACCATGCTGGCTTTCATGGGCTACCTGAGACATGAAACAGATAGGTGGACAGGCATACAGGCTGTCGCCAATTTATTAATGTGCAATTTACCTAAATGGGTAATGGACAAACTCGACCAATACAGTTTTATTCGACACTGTAGATTTTTTGTGACGTCATTACCTCCAGTGGTTTTTATTGGCACAAGATAGTTAAATGGAAACGCACCCTAGCAGGCAATTGTCGCATCTATTTTCTATGCAAACTCCCTAAATGTCGACAACAACAAAAAAATTCACTGGACAGGTTCATGGAAACATACACTACATGACCAAAAGTATGCGGACACCTGCTCGTCGAACATCTTATTACAAAATCATGGGCATTAATATGGGGTTGGTCCCCCCTTTGCTGCAATAACAGCCTCCACTATTCTGGGAAGGCTTTCCACTAGATGCTGGAACATTGCTGTGGGGACTTGCTTCCATTCAGCCACAATAGCATTAGTGAGGTCAGGCCTGGCTCGCAGTCAGCATTCCAATTCATCCCAAAGGTTTTCGATGGGGTTGAGGTCAGGGCTCTGTGCAGGCCAGTCAAGTTCTTCCACACCGATCTCGACAAACCATTTCTGTATGGACCTCGCTCTGTGCACGGAGGCATTGTTATGCTGAAACAGGAAAGGGCCGTCCCCAAACTGTTGCCACGAAGTTAGAAGCACAGAATTGTCCAGAATGACATTGTATGCTGTAGCGTTAAGATTTCCCTTCACTGGAACTAAGGAGCTTAGCCCAAACCATGAAAAACAGCCTCAGACCATTATTCCTTCTCCACCAAACTTTACAGCTGGCACTATGCATTGGCGCAGGTAGCGTTCCTCTGGCATCCGCCAAACCCAGATTCATCCGTCGGACTGCCAGATGGTGAAGCGTGATTCATCACTCCAGAGAACGCGTTTCCACTGCTCCAGAGTCCAATGGCGGTGATCTAAAAAAAAAAAAATCTTTACACCACTTCAGCCGATGCTTGGCATTGCACATGGTGATCTTAGGCTTGTGTGTGACTGCTCGGCCATGGAAACCCATTTCATGAAGCTCCCGACGAACAGTTATTGTGCTGACGTTGCTTCCAGAGGCAGGTTGGAACTCGGTAGTGAGTGTTGCAACTGAGGACAGACGATTTTTACGCGCTACACGCTTCAGCGCTTGGTGGTCCCGTTCTGTGAGCTTGTGTGGCCTACCACTTCGCGGCTGAGCCATTGTTGCGACTAGACGTTTCCACTTCACAATAACAGCACTTACAGTTGACTGGGGCAGCTCTAGCAGGGCAGAAATGTAATGAACTGACTTGTTGGAAAGGTGGCATCTTATGACGGTGCCACGTTGAAAGTCACTGAGCTCTTCATTACGGGCCATTCTACTGCCAATGTTTGTCTATGGAGATTGCATGTCTGTGTTCTTGATTTTATACACCTGTCAGCAACGGGTGTGCCTAAAATCCACTAATTTGTGGGGGGTCCACATACTTTTGTATATATAGTGTAGCTACTATCTGTCCTCATAATTAAGTTAGCTACCTCTAACGTTTGCAAAATACAGGACTCTATCTTTGTTTTGTACTAAACTACCACTTTTTCTGTTGAATTAGCCTTGCCAACACTGAGTTTTGCTTACAAAGTTCCATTGATATCGATTGCAAATGCAGGTGACAACAAGTATACCTGAGAGCTGCCACTTTGTTCTGGGTCTCCCGACTCATTTTGACTTCCTCTCCAGGGCCTGCCTCTGCCTGCTGGGGCTCTGTAGTTAGCCCTGTCACCCACCCTGGACACACACATATTGCCATTTCAAGTCGCTCACAACATTGTATCTGTATCTCCTAGAGATCACTTATTGGGAGCAGCAAACAGTCAGCAGACATCACTTTATTCTCGCTCTAGTGGTTCTTCTTTTTGTATAGCTTATGCATAACACACTATTTTCTTTCGTTGATAGCTCACCTGTATACGTGGCTGTCAGAACCTCGTCATAAGACTCCTTCCCAACACAGCCACCCTGAATAGAGTTGACGCTCTCCGACAACACCTGGTGGACAAGTTAGTATCACAAAGACATGGATTTCAACAATATTCTTTAAACTTTAGGATAAAAAGTTTGTTATTTCTCAGGAAGTTTGTCATTTCATGTAGGAACCAATGAGGTGCAGGAACCAATGGGGGTGGGGGGCGTTCATGCAGGAACCATTGGGATGCTCATGGGGGGGGGGGGGGGGGGGGGGGGCACAGGTCCTAATCCAGGCACTTGTCATCTCCCGTCTGGATTACTGCAACTCGCTGTTGGCTGGGCTCCCTGCCTGTGCCATTAAACCCCTACAACTCATCCAGAACGCTGCAGCCCGTCTGGTGTTCAACCTTCCCAAGTTCTCTCACGTCACCCCGCTCCTCCGCACACTCCACTGGCTTCCAGTTGAAGCTCGCATCTGCTACAAGACCATGGTGCTTGCCTATGGAGCTGTGAGGGGAACGGCACCTCCTTACCTTCAGGCTCTGATCAGTCCCTACACCCAAACGAGGACATTGCGTTCTTCCACCTCTGGCCTGCTGGTCCCCCCTACCTCTGCGGAAGCACAGTTCCCGCTCAGCCCAGTCAAAACTGTTCGCTGCTCTGGCACCCCAATGGTGGAACAAGCTCCCTCACAACGCCAGGACAGCGGAGTCACTGACCACCTTCCGGAGACACTTGAAACCCTACCTCTTTAAGGAATACCTGGGATAGTATAAAAGTAATCCTTCTACTGACGTGAATTCAACGTGAACTCAACTAAACATTTCACCATGTCATTGGATTTAGGTTAAAAGTTGGATAAAAAAATATGAAATGCCCTTACATTGATGACTTTTTGCAAATCCAATCAGTTTTTCACGTTGATTCAACGTCATCACATAGATTTTTTGGGTTGAAATGATGTGGAAACAAAGTTGATTCAACCAGTTTTTTCCCAGTGGGATGGGTGAAGTAGGCAAGCATCTTTTTTGGCATCAGAACGGCCTAATTCTCACTTGAAACATAGTTTTTGTGTTTAATAGACTAAATTACACATTCTGTTAACATTGGACTCCAGAGTGATATGTTCTTGTAATTTGTACTCCATGTCATTTCAGATTTTGATTTACTGTATCACAAAGTAGTTTGATGTAGTGAATTACTTTTTCAAAGTAAACTATAGTCTTCTAAAGGGTAGCTTTAGTGTAGCTTAACTTCTTCCAGTGTGAAGTAAATTGGTAGCTTGGTAAACTATATTTTCAGAATAGCTTCCCCAACACTGGTGGTTGGACACCCTAGGATATAAGATATAGGACAGGAAAAAAAATTATAGTGGACTCACATGCTCAAAGCGCAACGAGAGCTCGTCGGAGCTGTCAATGGCATAGACCTCCATTGTCCCATCGTCCCTGCCAACCAGGATGTCTTTCACCCCATCACCCAGGATATCAAACGTGTCGATGCACAAAACACCTATAGGCAACAACCACAGAAAAAGAAAATGGGAATAAGCTCAATGAATGGAATAATGCTAGCTATATCATTGAATGATGACCAACATGGTAAATCAATGTAAATAACATTCTTATAATATAAGATGACAATACGTGTGCTAATTGCGTTTAAGTGCATAGATACTCTTGAGTCTCTGACAGATAAAACATATACTAGCTAGTATAGTTTCTTTAACAGTTCCGTACCTCCTTTCTTTTTGTCATTATCAATCTCCCATTTAGAAGAGGAAGAGGAATCAGTTATCCTAATCAGTCCCAGTTTTCCATCCACAGTTCCATAGAGAATGTCTTCGCCATTAGTCCCTAAAGCAGACAGTGTGGTAGAAGTAGTGCCTTCAGAAAGTATTCACAACCCTTGACTTTTTCCACATTTTGTTGTGTTACAAGTTGGGGTTAAAATTGATTTTATTGTCTTTTTTTGGTCAACGATCTACACAAAATAGTCTAACATTTGTAAAAAAATAAGTGTATGAAAAATAAAACACTCATATCTTGATTAAGTATTCAACCCCCTGAGTCAATACATGTTAAAATCACCTTTGGAAGCGATTACAGCTGTAAGTCTTTCTGGGTAAGTCTAAGAGCTTTGCACACCTGGATTGTACATTTATTTAAATTCTTCAAGCTCTGTCAAGTTACATTTACATTTACATTTACATTTTAGTCATTTAGCAGACGCTCTTATCCAGAGCGACTTACAGTTAGTGAATACATATTTTTTTATACTGGCCCCCCGTGGGAATCGAACCCACAACCCTGGCGTTGCAAACACCATGCTCTATCAACTGAGCTACATCCCTGCCGGCCATTCCCTCCCCTATTCTGGACGATGCTGGGCCAATTGTGCGCCGCCCATGAGTCTCCCGGTCGCGGCCGGCTGCGACAGAGCCTGGATTCGAACCAGGATCTCTAGTGGCACAGTTAGCACTGCGATGCAGTGCCTTAGACCACTGCGCCACTCAGTTGGTAGTGGATCATTGCTAGACAGCCATTTTCAAGTCTTGCCATACATTCTTAAGCCGATATAAGTCAAAACTGTAACTCAGCCACATTCAATGTCGTCTTGGTAAACTCCAGTGCGTATTTGGCCTTGTGTTTTAGGTTATTCTCCTGCTAAAAGATGAATTTGTCTCCCAGTGTCTGTTGGAAAGCAGACTAAACCTGTGCTTAGCTCTATTCTGTTTCATTTCATCCTAAAAAAACTCCCTGGTCCATGCCGATGACAAGCATACCCATAACATGATGCAACCACCACCATGCTTGAAAATATGAAGTGTTACTCAGTGATGTGTTGTGTTGGATTTGCCCCAAACATAACACTTTGTATTCAGGACTTAAAGTTAATTTCGTTGACACATTTTTTGCAGTTTTATTTTTATTTGCCTTATTGCAAACATGATGCATGTTTTGGAATATTTTTATTCTGTACAGGCTTCCTTCTTTTCACTCTGTCATTTAGGTTAGTATTGTGCAGTAACTACAATGTTGTTGATGTATCCTCAGTTTTCAGTTATCACAGCCATTAAACTCTGTAACTGTTTTAAAGTCACTATTGGCCTCATGGTGAAATCCCTGAGCCGTTTCCTTCCTCTCTGGCAACTGAGTTAGGAAGGACGCCTGTATCTCTGTAGTGACTGAGTGTATTGATACACCATCCAAAGTGTAATTAATAACTTCACCATGCCCAAAGGGACATTCAATGTCTGCTTTTTAAATGTTTTACCCATCTACCATTAGGTGTCCTACTTTGCGAGGCATTGGAAAACTTCCCTGGTCTTTGTGGTTGAATCTGTGTTTGAAATTCACTATTCGACTGAGGGACCTTACAGATAATTGTATGTGTGGGGTACAGAGACGAGGTAGTCATTCAAAAATCATGTTAAACACTATCATTGTACAGAGCGAGTCCATACAACTTATTATGTGACATGTTAAGCAACTTTTTACTCGTGAATTTATTTAGGCTTGCCATAACAAAGGGGTTGAATACTTATTGACTCAAGACATTTCAGCTTTTCATTTCTAAAAACATAATTCCACTTTGACATTATGGGGTTTTGTGTGTAGGCCAGTGACAAAAAAAATCTAAATGTAATCAATTTTAAATTCAGGCTGTAACCAACAAAATGTGGAAAAAGTCAAGGGGTGTGAATACTTTCTGAAGGCACTGTAAGTACAGGGATGTGTGAAATTGACATTTGAGTTCAGTATAAGAATGTTGTACTTGCCTCCATCTCTATTGTACAGCTCCAAAACTGAGGGAGGACCAGGGACTTCAATATCATACAAAAGCTCAGATCCCTATGGGCAAGAAAACACAAACTCTTTGAAGTACTTATATTCTCATACTGCAGTACTCATACACAATTTCCATTCACCCATTAGAAAACATGCATTGGATTGTATGGAAATGATATAAATGATAAATAGACAGTGTGGTAAAATCTTCACCTGCAACACTCTGAGAACTCTGTCTTGACATGCCAACACAGGGACAACGCGGCCCAAGTTCTCAGCAGACAAACACACAATGTCATTGATTTTGTCTCCAGACAGGTAGTAGTCTTGGTCCTTGCAGTCACAGTAGTGGTTGTAGATGTAACTCGCACACACAAAAAGGTCTGCTCCTGAAACGTGCCTGCAAAACACATTGAAGGCATTTTTTTTTTTAAACAAACCATGTGTAGAGAGCCTGGAACCGAGGCAAGGTAACCTATTTCACATCAAAAAGTTAAAAGACTCACATGGCATTAATGCTTTCTGTAAGGTTGGCCTCAAAGGACAGGAACTGTTTGCCTTTCTTGGTGTATCCCTTCACTTCCGAGCCGGCACACACAAAGATCTTCTCCTGCGGGGTTCCAAGAGCCCCACCCAGGTCCAGCCTGGTTATCTTCTGCCCTGGCAAGGTCTTGAACACAGGCTAGAAAAGATAACCACAATCAACATTCATAAAATGGATCTTTATTTATTTATTACACAACGGAAACGTGTATTTTTGAGGACACGGTACCCATCCCACCGAACAGCACATGGTCAGCTGCAGAGCAGTTTCCCTGGAGCAGGTTAGGGGGACCATGGCAGTAGGCATTCATATGAAGTCCTTGAAAGTGGTTGTCCTCTCCTAGCCTAGGTGCCAGTCCGGTTCTGCTTTAGCCAACAATGATGAATGAGTTGGCTAAAAACAGACTGGAACCCAGGCTAGTATTTCAATGATGTTGACTGTGTAAGACCCAATACATACCACAGCTTCTCCTTTTTTCATCCCAAAACAAGTTACCACACCATCATGATCAGCAACAGCAACCTGTAACACGCAAAATGAAATGTGTAACTCAATAATTGGGGCATTGTTCAGAGCCAGATTTACAAAAGCATATATTCCAAACCAACCACAAGGCTATTTATGGGTCACTTCTAATTATGTACATGAACATTACAGTACCTTTTGGGTTGCTTTGCGTCCCAAGGCAGGGAGGAGCCTCATGGTTTTCTGAGATGTCACACCAACCTGTGACGATGAACGTGACAGCCAGAGTAAATCAGTATCACAATTCATCGACAGTTACTAAAGACAAAGTTGGCTGAGTAAAAAAAAAAAAGCAGTCCTTTTCCCATTCAGGCTACTATGTATTTAGCCATAACATTAGTGACATGATCAGTGCCAGGGGTCAAAATGTAGGAAAAAGCTATATAGCTAAATTATCTAGTTACTGTTGCTAACTCAGTTACCTGCAGATAATCAACTCGATTGAGGCTGATCTCCATGATGTTCTCTTGGCTTGATGCGAGTATTTGCTCATCAGAAATTGGTGTACAATTCAATTGATTAGCTACTGTAGCTAGGTCAATTATCCAAAGAAGGTGGGTTTCTGTCCAGTAACGTTAACCGTTAAGAACAAGCTATTTCCGACCGGGTTACAGTTATCTAAATCAACGTTAGCTAGCTAATAAAGATAGCTGTCTAGCTAACATCCGAGTTTAGCAAAGAGCATTTTGTCAGAATGTGATTATCAAAAACAGTACAGCTCTATGGGATTATTCTGTAGTAGGGATTAGCCTAGAGGTGCGTTCGTAAATTCACTCTGGTTACTACTCCGTTTTCAGGGCACTCTCGCGTCCGTCTGAGTGTGCCAAAGCGCAGAATAATTGAATTTACGAACGCTCAACACCCGTTGCATATGGCTGGTGTCAGTAAACGTCGGTAAAAAAGCGTAATTAAATTGTTGCCAGCAGCACAGTTACAGACACCAACGCTCTGGACAACATGAAAACAGCCTAACCAGCTCTGCTAGGGCGACTAAAATGGTCAGAGTGAGGACTGTGAGGTGTTCTATCATTTGTGTCTGGAAGCAGCTAGCCAACGTTAGCCAGTTAGCTTGGCTGCTTGACTGCCGTTGTGAGGTCAGAACGCTCCGATCAACCTACTCCTCGGCCAGAACGTCCAGTGTGCGCTCTGAACGCTCTGAATTTACGCACGCGCACTCTGGCACTCCAGATTGAATTTACGAACACACCCCTAGTTGGCTAATTTAGTTGGTTTGCTAACGCTGTAGCTACTCGAAATCCACGTGACAACTTTACACACTCACTGACCAGTATCATGAATATATTCCATATAGTTGGCACATCGTTGTTCGAGTTAGCTAAACGTCTGCTAGTTTATCGACATTTTAGTAGAACATTCACGTTGTCAAGATAGCATCTGATTCTTCTGTGATCACACTGGACCCGTTACCATGGACAACGATGTCGTTTGAAGAAGCTTCAAGATCATTGGGTGATGTCTCGGTGCGATTCAACGTAGATTCTGATTGGTATAGCGGGGTCCAGTATTTTTTTTTGTCTTCCTCCATAGTAGCTACGTTAAAAACAACTACGTAATAATTCCATGCGGAAGCGTTCGAAAATTAACAAATTCATGTGACCAGCGCCGTTGCTAATTAGGATCCCAAACCAACATTGAAAAATCACTGATGCTAATTGATACAAATCATGTTTATATTAGTGAATATGGAGGTTGTCATTCAACAAGGTAATTTTTCTTATTTTATTGATTTAAGATAATGGATAAATATATTCCAGATCTACACAAACATGGTTTCTCTACAAGTAAATAATAAATACATTTAACATGGCAATGTGGGCATGCAGTGAACCGGAAAACGAGGGGTATTAGCCACAAATCAGTTGAATTGAAGACATTTTAAATTAGAAAACCTATCCAAAATGCAACTATACACTTGCATTTGAAGCCAGCCTACTCCTTCCCATTTACTGAATACCATGTGCTTTGTGCACAGACTGAGGAACTGCTGGTAGAGTGAAACTGATTCATTTTTAGCATAAATCCTTTGACTGCATGTCTTTGTACCATTAAAGTCTTCAAAAGTACAGCAGATATTCCACTTTCTCATTTCAGTGCCATGTAACACCATGTAGTGAGTTACATGGCATAGATCACATTTCAATTTCAAAGAGTAAAAATGTGTTAAGACAATCATAACAGATGCTTTCAGCGTAAGAAAATGTATAAAATGGAATTGGTGGATGTAGAAATCCCAGAGCAACTGACATCTCATCTCGCCTTTAAAAAGCACAATATGATTAATAAAAAAAGAAAGATTGCAACTATGTATAGTACAATTTAAATTAAATATCTAATCTCAGAAGTTAATCTTTTTTTGCAAGAGAAGAACAAGTATTTTGTCATGAATAAATAAATCATACAGGACAGACCAAAGACAATTACCATCATAAGGTCAATCCTTAGAAGTAGAACACAGATAGTCAGCTGGTGTTCTTCCCAAAGAGAGAGAAAAGGGGGTGGAGGAGGGGGAGTGAGTGTCCAGCTGCTCCATAAAGCCATTTCAAAAACAAAATCGGGGGATTTTCAGTGCATCGCAGGCAGAGCCTCAGCCTCCGCTCTAGCATATGAACAGAGCAGCAGGAACACAGACCTGACATGTAACATTAAAAAGTATTTTTTTCTCTCTCAAAGTTGTTGCTCGTCAGTCCCTCAAGTTGACATGCCGCCACACCCCTTGCAGTACAAACTATGGTTGTGGGGGGACAGAAAGTGAGGTCACACTGCAGTGGGGGCCAGGCGACTCATAAAGGCGATACTGTTGAGGCACATCTTTCTGAAGAAGGCCGGGCAGGCGGGCTTCATGATGAAATGCTCCAGCAGAATCCGAAGCTCTGAGAACAGGGTGCTGGGAGGGGTGGAAATTATGGTTTGAGAAATGCAATTAGCCATATTTGCTATTGTACAATGATCCAACATATTGAAATTACTACACCTACAGAAGTCAATTGAGGCTACTTACCGGCAATATGGGTTTCTCCTTGAGGTGTAGCGGAGAGTTAGAAACCTGTAGTAAATGAAAGGCTGCAGCAAGCTTCCCTGGCCACTGTAAACAACAAAAACCAAGAGTAAATCAAGTGACTGGGTGGGGGGTGGGGGGGACAAACTATGAATTCTCATCTCAGTGCATACTGGTATTGTAAGAGAATCTAAAAGGAAAAACCCTTATCAGACTTCAGTCTAAAGGTACCATTAAAATGTGCACAGAAATAGACATACCTGAATAGCATGAATACAGTGGCTGGCATGAGGAAGATCTCGTTGCAGGCGATGAACTTCAGGATGTTCTGCTGGTTGGCTGTGAGCTTGTTGAGGAAGTTCCTCACAAAGGGCAGGCTATTAGGGCCCATTGCCTACAAGGGGAATTATACACATCAGGATGACCAAATAATGAAAGAGCACCTTATGAATGAGCATAAATTAGCAAAATTACTGTATTTTACCTAGCCAACACTCATAAAAGGGTATTTTATGATTTGGATGGTGACAATGACCATCCAAATCACAAAATACCCTTTTTCGAGTGCTGGCTATGCTTTACCCAACTGGCTTTTGATGGCTTCACTAACGTTTAAATGTTTTGGAATCAAAAGAGAATACTTACATCCAGAACCTTCTTTGTGTAGGTGGTTGCATGAAGCAACGAGAAGAGGAAGACTGGGAATATGCTCACTGTAGACAGCGGTTAAGGGGCAAAACAGCAGTAAAGATGGACAACACAAAACAAACATTGAAGGGCAGCTTCAAAGTGTTTTCAAGCAATGCCTTCTTGTTAATAGGTAAATAGGTTTTTTGTAGGTTTGCATAACTGAAACCATGACCCCAACCATTACAAAAACCTTCCTGCATTACAATTAGCATTCTCCCCAAACCAGTTTGGTGGTGATATACCAAGCTTTAGCTTTATCAGACACCCTTATGACAGAACAACCAAGGCATGGTGATATTAGCCTGACATGACAACGACCCTAGGATTTGGCTATACAACACAAACAGATCTGGGACCAGGCTATGGTGATAGCCTTTATGTATGGTTGAGAGGATACTTGTGATGGGGTTAGAGTTGACCAGGATGAGGGAGTACAGCAGGTAGTGACAGCTGTCCTCTTGGAGTGCCTGGGCTAGGAAGGCTCTGCTGAGCTGGAAGTGGGGGAGCCGCTGGTGTAGTCGCAGTGCACTGGTGAGGGCGTTGGCCAGCAGCGCACGCTGGTAGAAATTGGCAGCCGCCTGGGGTCTGGAAAATGTAAATAAATGCATTACTCTGAGGGGAACTCAGACTGGTTAATTACATTTTGGAGTATATCGAAATGGTGTAACAATTTGGACCACAATATGCTATGAAAGTGAATATGTGGTGGCATCAGGTGAACATTCAAGACATTAATTTGATAATGCCATCACTAAAATATTGTTAATTTCGCAGTTCTGCATTGGTTGTCTGTGTCAGGTATTGTTGCTATATGCACATCCAGAAAAATATTATCCCTGGTGCTGGAACTGAGTAAACATTAACAATAATGTAAAACCCAAACTGCAGTAGCATATTAGCATATTGCTTTCGTAAATAGCTAATGTAGATCAGGGCTCTCCAACCCTGGTCCTGGAGAGCTACCATCCTGTAGGTTTTCGCTTCAACCCTAATCTAGCTCACCTGAATCTCATAATTAGCTGGTTGATAAGCTGAGTCAGGGTTCATTACATTTTAGTCATTTAGCAGACGCTCTTATCCAGAGTGACTTACAGTTAGTGAGTGCATACATTTTCATACTGGCCCCCCTGTGGGAATCGAACCCACAACCCTGGCGTTGCAAGCGCTATGCTCTACCGACTGAGCTACACGGGGCTCGTTACAACTGGGTTTGGACTGAACACCTGCAGGACTGTAGCTCTCCAGGAACAGGGTTGGAGAGCCCTGATATAGACAAAGTGAAAAATCTGAGCATTGACCCTTACCCTAAGAGTGGTAGAATGAACATTATTGAGCAATAGATGGTGAAGAGCCGTGAGAGCCACATTGCTGTCTCTAGTTTGTTCGCCAACATGAATTGCTGTGAAGAAAAAAGAAATTAGTACATTCAAGTTCATGAGGTTAGAAAAACTTGACAAAATATATTTTAGAGTCAACATCCACAGGCCTATATTGTATCATTGAGCACTATCCAAATGATCTGCAATACGCCAAAATGTGACACCAAAAAAAACTAATGTCTACCTTACTGCAAGGATGCAATTACCTACACAAAAATGTTTTCCCTGCCTACTTGCATTGCACTACAAATTTGGGGCTCCACACTTTTGCATGTTTTTGTAATGCAACTTCGCAGGACAGCCGATTAGTGTAGATAAGTGTCCTTGTGTTGAGTACTTGCACAATGTAAAAAAATAGGCTTTACGCTGGGTTTATACTCCAAACGTTCATTGTAACATTTACATTTACATTTTAGTCATTTAGCAGACGCTCTTATCCAGAGCGACTTACAGTTAGTGAATACATATTTTTTTTTATACTGGCTCCCCGTGGGAATCGAACCCACAACCCTGGTGTTGCAAACGCCATGCTCTATCAACTGAGCTACATCCCTGCCGGCCATTCCCTCCCCTACCCTGGACGACACTGGGCCAATTGTGCGCCGCCCATGAGTCTCCCGGTCACGGCCGGCTGCGACAGAGCCTGGATTCGACCCAGGATCTCTAGTGGCACAGTTAGCACTGTGATGCAGTGCCTTAGACCACTGCGCCACTCAGGAGACAGGTAACATCACTGGAGAGTGCGTAAAGTTACAACCTACGTTATGCAGTGAAATGTGTGGTGAAGTCACAGAGCTTCTCCACTATGGAGTATACATCCTGCCTAACAAGTACAATCTATGATCTTGATGAAGTAGAAGTGCATGATTACTCACCACTGGCCCTAATTGAGGGGGAGGGGCACTTGTTTGCTCTGTGTCAGCCATCTTCTTGACTCTCGTTTACCCCTGAAGAGAGACGGAAACACAAAAACCGTTTAATGAATAACTTATAGCACCCGGACATAGAAAGCCCACTTGACTCTCAAGAAATGGCAAGAATGAAAATGCTGATTAGCTTATACACCCACGTTCATGAGTTGATTTTGATATGCGGAGTGCAGACAAAACAACTAGCTAAAACGTTTAAACTGATTCAAACTAACGTTACCCAACTAGTTAGATGACTGTCAGTCAGGGCATCAATATTTTTGGCTCAGCTGTAGCTTTGTCAGAACATAGGCGCTATCCAACTAGCTTAGCTAGCTACTAGACAGCAATTATTAGCCACACAAACGTGAGACAGATCCAGGGAGTGATAACTAGCAAACTAGTTCGGAAAGCACATTTGTTGTCTTTATATAATGAGTTAATTGAGAAAACGTTAGCAATGGCGAATCCCGGTAAATGAATTAGCTAGCCTAATGTACACTAGCTAGCTAACGTAGAACTGCCTCCACACTCTAGAATGTTCTGACGCTTGTTAGCTAGCTCAGTTCTGGCTAAACTAGCTGACAAGCATGTAATGTACTGTTAGCTAGCTTAAATATTCTCTGCGTGGACTGTCTGACTTCAATGTAGCTAACACGAATAATTAGGTTTAGGCTATATTTTCCGAAAATTACCTGGAACTGTCGAGATCAACGTCAGATATGCAGTTTCACCAATGACTCTGTTATTTTGTTGGCTACTTTCGCTAGCTATTCAGCAATATTCTTCTTCTTCGGTGGTGTTTATCGGCGGTTGGCAGTCAACGTTATGGTGCATTACCGCCACCATACTGTACTGGAGTGTGGGCCGCCTTCTTCTTCTTCTTCTTCTTCTTCTTCTTCTTCTTCTTCAATGAGGTTTAACGGCGGTTGGCATCCAATTTGTTGCATTACCGCCTCCTACTAGACTGGAGTTCAACTCCCTTATCGTTCCTTGAAAAATAAAATAAACCAAAGCAAAGAAATATCCTACCATAAATACGCCATTTAGCAGACACTTTTATCCAAAGCGACTTACAGTCATGTGTGCATACATTTTTGCGTATGGGTGGTCCCGGGGATCGAACCCACTACCCTGCCGTTACAAGCGCCATGCTTTACCAATTGAGCTACAGAGGACCATCTAACACTACACTCACACCTTCAACACTACAACTAATAATTAACCCCACCCTTCTCCACTGTTTAAATACACTCACTCCTACCTCATGCCCTCAACCTGAATTGATGGGACATCACCACTTAACACTCCCTGTAACTCTTCTGCTGTCAAGTCTCGCACACCCAAATATCTCTCTACAGCTGCCACCACCACCTCAATTTTCATCGATTTGCGTTCCATCCCTGCAGTACAATTAGTAACCATTGCTATAAACGCAAAAAATCCAATCTTGCTGAACCTTATATAACTTTTTGGTTTATCCCTATGTACTGGTACATCTCTACTACTCACACCATTTCTCTCAGGATCCCTCCCCCTTGACCCATCTTCCTCTACTTTCTTCACTGCCTCCGCATATGACAACTTATTCTCTACTCTTACCCTGGATACCTCAACCTGCTTCTCTCGCACTGGACATGTCTGATCCCCAGCCCCATGGCCACCCCTACAATTAGCACACACCACCACTTTCCCCACTGCTTCACACTACTTTGTCTCATGCCCTTCTGCACACTTCTCACACCTTGGTATCTCCCTCCTACACACTGCTGCCACATGCCCATAAGTTTGACACCTGTAACATCTTAAGGTATTCGGCACATATGCTCGCACTGGGTAACTTATATATCCTAACCTCACTTTCTCCGGCAAAGACTAAACTTCAAAACTCAAAAGAACAGACAATGACTCTCACCACCCTGTTTACATCGCACCAAACGACGAGCATCACACACACCGGGAATCATCTCCTTCAGTTGGTCAACTTTTACATTCACTGCTACTCCAGTAATCACTCCTCTCAATGGCACCCTTTTCTTAAGAGCGAAACAATTCACAATTCTTTCCCCCATTTGTTTAACTCTGAGCGCCTTCTCCCTCTGCCCAACAGAAACACAAACAATTATCACTAGACCACTTCTGGTTACCCTCACCGATTCCAATTTACCCAACACTCTTTTCACCCATCTTGAAACCACAATTGGATCAGCCAAAAGGCAAGGATCCATTTTTTCCACAAACTTCAAGCCTACGGCCACAGACTCATCTTTATCCTGACCCTCTGTGCAATCCTCGGGCTCCGAGTACTTCACCACACTTTCCACATCCGAGACATCACCCTCATTCACTTCCATTTCTGCTCCTGTCTTCAGCTCACTTTGCTTACATTTCCAACCACTCTTCATTTTTAACTGACTCAAACTCACAATCTTCCTCCATCTCTCTCTTAGACCTCCTCTGCCTCTCTTTTCCCCTCCATTCCTCCTAATTCATCCAAGTATACGTCTCCTTATGATAATACTGCATTTCTCCAAACCTATATCTGTTTCTTGCCTTCTCTAAGGACTCAATTTTCCCCCTCCTTTCCCTTCCAGCATCTATTCTATCATCAGCCTTGACCTCTTCATTGCTCTCCTCTTCTGATCCGCTGTCCACCTCTCCTGATTCACCATCGTCTTCCGATCCGTTATCCTCACTATCATCGGGACTTACTCCCTTTCCAACTGCTCGTCTTTTCGCTGAAGACGCCATGCTCCTTCAATCCATCACACAGGACTGGAGTGTGGGCCAGAGAAGGGGAGAAACTAAATCCAACCTGCCAGCACCGTTTCTCTTTAAAAAAGATAACAAAATATTTGCGAATATTGTATCTAATGACGTTCTACTCAGTATACTCTTTAAACTCATTTAATCTATCCCCTTCTCCTTCATACTGGATCTCAGCCTTTCTCTTTCCCTCTCATACTGCCCAGACAGTATCAGTACATGCCCTATTGTCTCTATTTCCTGTCAATAGTCACAATTTCCTATTGGATGCTTTCCTATCACATTTTGTCTTATGCAACCGGCTGTGTCCCACCCTTAATCTTGTAAAAATAGCCTACTCTCTTCTGTGTCTTCCTGCCGTCCTCCCTGACTTTCCTCTGTACTTGGAATAGATGCTTGCCCTTAATGTCTCTATTCCACTGATCCTGTCATCTCTGCACCACCACTGTCCATATCAGGCTGTTTGCCTCTGCCTTGCTCATTGAAACTACAACATCTGCATCCCCACTACTAAGTGCTTGTTTAGCCAGTACATTAGCTGCCTCGTTCCTATCCGCCCCCACATGGGCTGGGAACCAAGTAAACTTGGTATGTATACCCATCTGTCTAACCCTGCCATGGGTTTGTAGTACGTCATAAAGCAGGTCTTGTCTGCTACGTGAGCTAAAGGACTGCAGACTCATCAACACTGCACGTGAATCAGAGCAAATAACTACTCTGTCTGGCTTGACTTCCTCCACCCACTGCAAGGCCAACAGTATGGCCATCAGCTCCGCCGTATATACAGCCAGATGATCTGTAATACGTTTCCTGACTGCCACCCCACATTCCTGCAGTACAAATGCTGACCCAGTACGTCCTGTCCTTGGATCTTTTGGACCATCTGTGTAAATGGCCACAAAATCCGGATATACAGTACAGTATCCAGACGTCTATTAAACAAACCAGATGGATCAACACCCTCCCTATCTTTCCGTAGTCTCTCCAACACTTCTAGATCAACTACTGGAGGTGGGAGTAGCCATGGTGGGATCACAGGAATAACTACCATTGGGCTAAACTCCCTTCCATATAGTCCCATCTCCCTCGCCTGGGTATTACCCACCCACCCAAAGCTTGTGTTCTGTTCTCCCAGCATGCCTGTATTACCCACCCACCCAGCATTACCCACCCACCCAAAGCTCATGTTCCCAGCATGCCTGTAAAATCCCTTTCGCAGGATGAGACACTCCATGTCCCTGTAAATTGACCCAATAATTAATTGCCAGCTGCTGTCTCCTAACCTGCAATGGCATATCCCCCATCTCCACCTGTAGTGCAGCCACTGGGGAGGTCCGAAAAGCCCCACTACATATTCTGAGTCTTTGCCCCTGTATGATATCTAGCCTTTCCAGTGAGGTCCGGGCTGACGAACCATACGCTATACTGCCAGTCTATTACAGATCGGATCAATGCAACATACATGGTCCTCAATGAGGAATGCCCAGCCCCCCACTCCTTCCCTGTCAGACAGCACATCACATTTAGCACCTTTTTACATTTTCCCACCACTCCCTCAATGTGTTCTGCCCAGGTCAGTCTAGAGTCAAAGTACACCCCAAGGAACCTGAAGGCCCCCACCCTCTCCAGGTTTCTCCCATATAACCTCAAGCGTACTTCATCTCCCACCTTCCTCCTGGTAAAGAACACTGTCTGAGTTTTCTCTACAGAGAACCTGAATACCCACATTAATGCCCACCTCATCAATTGCTTCCTGTCCCTTCCTGACTATAGCGATTTGCGTCATTCCCACATTGAAGTTACATTTATCAGCTGACCTTGGCTTGCACCAGAAAGGGGAAAATATATTGCGATATTTGTAGACGTGACCAAAAATGTAATTCAAATCATCCCTGTTTTATTTTATTATCTGAAACTAGCTAGGTACATTTCAAGTATGGCTTATTTTATGTTGTCCTAGCAAGATTTCTGAGTCAAACATTCATCTTACTGGAATTATTTTATTGTAAATATACAGAAGCCTACAGATCTAGGCCTACTTCAGTCAAGATTCAATGTTTAAACTTAATTGGTATTGTGTAAATACACTGGAAATTCTCCCAATAAAAGATATGGCATCTAATGAGTCCAAGTTCTCACATGTGCAGTAGGCTAGGAAAAGGCTACAGGGGGAATCTGCATGATGGTTCCTTGCATTGCATCATGTCCATACGGGGATGCTAACAAGGGATTTATTACAGTGTTGTAGCTCAAATGACTTTGATCTATTAATCATAGA